GCCCACTTTTACCACCTTTTGATAAATTTAACCGATTGATAATTGGCTAAATTTATTTCTCTCTCATTGACTAAGGTCCATTACTACCATCTTTTAGTTAAATTTATCTTATAGATAAACCCATCTACTAGCCAATCAGAGCGCGCAAAATAGCCGTAACCGTGGTAATAATCCCTTAGATAGCATAACCAGAAGATGGTGGTAACGAAAAATCCAGGGGTTAAGTTGTGGTTAAAATAAAGAATTAACAAGAAATGATAATTCAAGACTATATTAGAAACATGATATTCCAAAAACTTTTGTCGGCTAATTGTATGTTTGACGTCCTTGATCAAAATGACATTTGAAAGAAAAAGTAACACCAACTAATGTATTACAATGAAATAATTAGTTAAGTTAGGTAAAAGTCTGACTGAACTTTAACCACGACATTTTAACTAAAATAATACCAATTTATAATCATCTAATACATTAATATTAATTAATAGCAATACTCAGACTAAATTATGATTTTATTAATACATATAAATGAAGTTTAAAGTTGTAATGTAATAAATAAATAATAAAATAACAATAATAGAAAATAATAAGTTTAAAGATTTTGAGTTTAGTTAATAATCTGTTTAAGTAACACTCTATATATTTATTCTTAAATCTATTTATTTAGCGTGTGTAAATGTGGTTCGATGGAGTTGCCAGGGTCATTTTCTTGCATCCGGAGGCGATGATAAGTTGGTAATGATATGGAAGTTAACTGGTGAAGGAAGCTCGACAATATTCGGCGGAGGCGGGAAAGTTAACATAGAAACATGGAAATGCGTTTTCACATTAAACGCCCACACTGGAGACGTCCTGGATTTAGCTTGGGCTTCTCACGACGGATGGTTAGCTTCCGGTAGTGTGGATAATACTATTATTATTTGGAACGCGCATAAATTTCCCGAAAAAATTGCTGTTTTAAAAGGACATACCGCAATGGTTAAGGTAAATCAAAAAAAAAGTTTTAGCTTTCATTCTTGGGGATGCATATTGTACCAATAACGGAGAGTGAAACCATATGGCTAATAACGTTTATTTGTATATTATAAATTATAAACAAGACGCAAAAATATAACGATATTTATATAAAAATTATATATGGCTGTGTTATTTATATAAAATAACACAGCTTTAAAACATGTGCCAAACGAAGTTTAATAAATACAGAGTTTCAATGTTATAGCATAAAACAAATATATTTTTATTGCTGGGGATTGTATCTACAGACAAGATTTAAATTTAATGACAAAGACATCTGCAATTGATACCACTTCTCATATTTTCGTTTTAAAGTGTTTTTTTCTTATTTTTGTTGATATGAAGTACTATAGCAATATGCAATTTTTTTGTTACTTTGTTATTGAAAAATTAATCTCTACTCTACCTCGTATCGCATATCGATATCCGCCTGAAAAAAATCTAAGTAGAGGAGGCCCGTTTAAAAATTGCGCGACACATTTTATCAACACCAGTCGAGATAACGACTTTGACTGTCAACATTTATGAATTCAAGGACGAACTTTGACTATATAATTTCAGAAAAAATCACGTATGCAGTACAGACTAAATAATCTGAAACGTACATATTTGATTTTGATCAAAAACAATTTTATGTACTTCTATTCACTTTATCATTTAATCCAAGACTTATACTTATAGTAGGTTAGGCCTGCTTATGCAAAGGTATTATTATTGAAACGACAGTTTTTCAACAATACACGTCAACATACAGCCCTTTGCTTTTGAAAGGAAAATTTTCATTTGTCAATATATACTTTCTGCAGAACCGACAACTTTTTAAACTTTATAATTTATTTCATAGTGTCAACAGAAGTAAAAGCCATAATTTATGACAAATGGTACTCAAAATCAGCTTCATGCAGTGCGACTGTAAAGTAAATGATATAGGCGACAAAATCAATATCAAATTATGGATAAAAGTAGTAGTACCCTAGCCATGAGTAACGATGGTAACCAATTATTTTAAACAATTTCCTAAGTGTCAAAAATTAACTTAGTAAAACTTGTAGTTTCATAAAGCAAATCATTAATAAGTAGTACCGTAGCCATGAGTAACGATGGTAAACAATTATTTTAAACAAGGTGAAGTTGCAACACGAGCAAGTGTTGTAATCTGAGTGGATAACATCCATTATACGCAAGTTGAATACTATACTTTATCTACAACTATTTAATTTTGAAAAAAAATCAAAAAAAGGAAAAAAAATAAACTTGATAGACATTTCAGACATAACCACAATATAAGAAAGCTGTCATTTCTGTTAATATTTTATTTTTTGATTGGTAGGCCGTGTCAGAACTGTGGAATAATGGCTTCATTATTCAACACTTTGTCAGTCATGAGTAATGCGTGTCATTACCCGTCAAAAATCAAATGTATAATGAATAGATAATTCAATAGTTGTAGATAAATATTATTAAGTGTATTCTATGCATAGTGGCCCTTTTAAGGGACGTGTTGCAAAAAATATTTTCTTTCCAAAAAAAATTCTTTTTTGATATAATAAAATTAAAGAAAAATACAAAAAAGTTGAAAAGAAAGTCTTTAACCAAACTAAACCCCAAAAGATGACAATTAAAATCAAAAAAAAATTACATTTTATAAGAGTCGTTTCACCTATCCGGGGACACACTGTATATCGCCGAAATGCCAATAATGAAGAACAGTTTATATTATCAGGTTTCAATTTCTTCATAAGGAGCCACCCATTAACAACTAAAGTATTTATCAGAAATGAAAAGATTGGCCAGTACCACTTTCTAAGCCTCATTCGCGTTCTGCATACTGCAACTCTTCATCTAATTTATCCACCTTCCTTTATTATAGCTTGTTACCATTTCGAGCAGCTTTATGGCTCTATAAGACCTACTTTCTTTGCACCACCGAGTACTGCTGGACACAGACTTTCCTTGAATGTTGGTAGCCATGGTAACCACTCTATTATCTTTCCATTGAACAAGTAATACTTCATTACCTCCCATAAACCGGTATGTACATCTGCATGATTTATTCCAATACCTCGTATTGGGGAAAGGGCATTTTTCTGTTCGATTTGGGCGTATTATACCTGCTGCACATATTTTCTTCTCCTTCAGATAACAATGTACACCAACACGGGTAAAATAACTATCAAAGTAGATCTTGTTATATCCTTCATTTTCTCCAATTCCAGCTTTATTTATTAGGTCTAAACCGACATTTTCTCCAAGTCTAAACTTATTTTCATTTATTTTGGTACCTTTTACTGTATATACATCAAAGCTTACCATATACCCTTCACTTGTACACAGAGACCAATTTTTCAATCCAAATCTCATAGGTATCATTACATTATAATAAGTTATCATACTTTCATCTATGGATGTTTTTTCCAATCCACCATGTTTATTAAAGTTTTCATTAAGTTTTTCAACAAATGGTCTTAGTTTATACAATCTACCTTCAAAATTA